AATTCTGTTTTCTATATAATATAATGAAGAAAACATACAAAAACAACGTTAAAACTTTTTGATAGTAAAAGTACTTTCGCTTATTTTATTAAAGCTTCGAATTAGTTATAAGATATTCTAACACAACAAGTGGAACTTACTGCAAATAACGTTCTAAAATTTTACTTTTTGGAATATAACATTTAAAATGTTAGATTATCTTAAATAAAATAAGCGAAAATACTTATAGTATCAAACGTTTTAATGTTGTTTGGTATGTTTTTCATTATATTACATTAGTCCACAACGTCAGAATTCTACATATCACTTTCGATATATTGTATTATTATTAATTCCTAGCTTAAAATACAAGCAAAATTCAAAATATCTTTTTCTAAATTCGCTTTGTAAATTGAATAAGTAATTAAATTTAAACAAACAGCCGAACGAATAAAATTTATCATTTTAAATTTTCTTAAAGATAAATTGTTGAATTCTTTTATCAACGTAAAAATTGATATATTATACGAAATATATTGCTGTAGTTTGTTGATAAAATGATGACAAATTTAATTCCTTTGATGTTGAAGTGATCATATGGAGTCAATGATTATATGATTATATAACATTTATCCGAATGATCTTTCATTTTTTATTTATAGAATGCGGAAAAGAGTAGAAAAACATAAATAAAATCTTTCTTCGAAAATAGTTGATTCATTCATATAAAAATCCACATTAAAAGTAACTTCAACTCAAAACGATTTTCGAAAAGTCTAATGATTAACCGTAAACATCATCTTAAGTAATTAATAATACGATATGACAATTAGAAAATTTTAAGTTATATTAATAATACTATTTTATTGTAGAACTTGAAATTTATTTTATTAGGAGGAATTTAAAAGAATTTATATTTTTTTAAAATTATTTCTGATAAGATATTTTAAAAATTATATCAATTCTTTAACACAATTTTTTCTAGTGATTTTAATATTTATTTTTATTTTTTAATTGCAAAATTAATATTAGTAACAGAATAGGATAACATTTTTATAATATAATAGTACTGTTTTTTTGTTTTTTTAAGTTGCTCAAAGTATATAAACTTGATAAGCGATTAAAGAAATGCGAATTAACTGTTCTATTGGGAATAGAAAAGATCTACTAGTGGCATTAGCGACATTTGTGTATCATTATTTTAATTCATTTTAGATGCAAATGTATACATCAATAGAATTAAACTGGTATATCTATTTTCTAATGAAAACATTTTCTCATGACCTATATATTATTACGCACGTGAATGTATAATATATGAATTTATATAAATATTTTTAATTATTTAGAAGAAAAAATTATAAAATTATAATATAGAGTCCACCATTCCATTGAAAAGAAAAGAAAATTCTTTTATATTTTTTTCGAATATCTGACATATTGATTGTGTGGATTTCCGATTTGTAATAACCACTTATTCTTCCTGCAATTTTACATTTCAGAAACGACCATACAGCATGGATCTGAAAGTGGATTTCTTTCTGTATGACTTATCAACTTTACGACGGTTCCAAGTATTGGACTGGTTGATTTTTACTACAGATGAACTCCACAGAGACACATAACGTCCCAATACCTGGCTACCGTTTCTCCATTAACTTTTATATCTGTGTTTCATCCGACACCTGCCTTAACCCACCTGTCTATCTTTATTTCAATGCCCTCCTCTTCTAAAATTCTAAAATATTTCTTTGTTTACGTTTTATTTAAAATAATAATTAACTATTTTATATTGATACGTTTGTTTCCGTTCCTAAACTATGTATAAAACTGTCATCAAATATTTTTTTATATTTTAATATTTCAATTTTAAATTATTTAATTCTGTTTTCTATATAATATAATGAAGAAAACATACAAAAACAACGTTAAAACTTTTTGATAGTAAAAGTACTTTCGCTTATTTTATTAAAGCTTCGAATTAGTTATAAGATATTCTAACACAACAAGTGGAACTTACTGCAAATAACGTTCTAAAATTTTACTTTTTGGAATATAACATTTAAAATGTTAGATTATCTTAAATAAAATAAGCGAAAATACTTATAGTATCAAACGTTTTAGTGTTGTTTGGTATGTTTTTCATTATATTACATTAGTCCACAACGTCAGAATTCTACATATCACTTTCGATATATTGTATTATTATTAATTCCTAGCTTAAAATACAAGCAAAATTCAAAATATCTTTTTCTAAATTCGCTTTGTAAATTGAATAAGTAATTAAATTTAAAGAAACAGCCGAACGAATAAAATTTATCATTTTAAATTTTCTTAAAGATAAATTGTTGAATTCTTTTATCAACGTAAAAATTGATATATTATACGAAATATATTGCTGTTGTTTGTTGATAAAATGATGACAAATTTAATTCCTTTGATGTTGAAGTGATCATATGGAGTCAATGATTATATGATTATATAACATTTATCCGAATGATCTTTCATTTTTTATTTATAGAATGCGGAAAAGAGTAGAAAAACATAAATAAAATCTTTCTTCGAAAATAGTTGATTCATTCATATAAAAATCCACATTAAAAGTAACTTCAACTCAAAACGATTTTCGAAAAGTCTAATGATTAACCGTAAACATCATCTTAAGTAATTAATAATACGATATGACAATTAGAAAATTTTAAGTTATATTAATAATACTATTTTATTGTAGAACTTGAAATTTATTTTATTAGGAAGAATTTAAAAGAATTTATATATTTTTTAGATTATTTCTGATAAGATATTTTAAAAATTATATCANTAAAGTTTAAATAATTCTCAAAATTTAGAAATTTGATTCTAAGAGATAGATTAGGTATAAGAATGTGTTAAAATATCTTCTCAAATCATAAAATTGTGCAGTGTTAGCAGTTATAAAAGTATTAATATTACCCGAATGAAACCAAATGGAATAGGTATGTATTTTTTATAGGATAAATGACAAAATACCTTTTTCTTTCTTGTAATATATGTCAAATAGAGCTATCCGTAGGCAAACAAATATGTATATATATAGGATATGAAATATTGAAAGTTGATAAATAAAATGAAATCTTTCAAATCTTGAAACTTCTTTAAACTTGTTTAGCATTTGAAATCATTTCTTCTAAAATTGTATTTTATTAAATCCAAACTAAAAATTTTTCTCGATTTCTTTTATTTAGTTGTATGAATGTATTGTTTTCAATTCTGTTCTTTAATTTTTCGAAGATTTATTTAATTAAAAACTTAAATAAATCTTATTGTTTCTCATAATATTTTAACAGAAATTTTTAATGAAAAATATCTCCATATTTACTAAAGTATTATGTGAAATTTCTGAAGAAAAACAATCTTTTCTATTGTAGATTTACTCTAACATTCATTTAAGTTTCTCGAAAAAGTAGTTTGGTTTCGATATTTGTTTTGAACTTTGATTAATTCTGTAATTCAAATTCTGAGGATAGAAGAAAAAAAAATACAATTTCTTCTATTTATATATATATATATATTTTAATATAAATACGTCGAATTTAGTGAGAAAATTGCATAAGTTGTTGACCTGTGCTTTAAAATATATATGGATAATTATTAATTTACGTATTATTAATAAATATTAGTTATAAAACTAATATTGCTGAATATTACTTGCGTAAACATCACATCTTCGAACTAATTTATAAAATTTGCATAATAACTATGAGCAAATGAATCATATATTGAGACAATTAGAACAATTTAATTGTGGCAGTATCATTAGATAAAGCAAATCTCTTTATTTCTCACTTAATAGGAAAACGTGTAATTGAAGCGTTAAACTACTCTTTTATTCTCAATAGCTTTATTTAATTTCAAAAACGTGCAGTATTTTCTAAATTCTCAATCCGAATAAATTAAATTAAGAAACAAGAAACGAAACGAACAAAAGAAAAAAAAATCCACACACAGAATTACTTTCACCTATTCTTTAAGAATACAAATTTAAGAAAACGACTTTTTGCTCGTTTTTATTTTTTCGAAGTAACTTCGACTTTTCTGTAGCACTTCAAATCGAACATTAACCAATTTTAATTTTTCTTCTTCTCTAACCTTATTTAGAACAGTTTCATCTAGTGCATAAGTTCCGTCTGGTTTAAAATCAAAATAAAAAAATAAAAAAAACACAAGAAAAAGCGTAACTTCTCCATTCTTGAGAGTTTTTAATAAAACGTCCAGTCCCTCTGGAGCAGTAAGAGGAGAAGGGATGCTGTCGTAAATCTCGCGATATGCGAAGTGGCAGAAAGTAATGAAGATGAAGTTGGAAAGAAGTAATGGATGTTTCTATTGGTGAATGATGGTTTTCCATCTCTTTTTCTTTCAGTCCTTCCGGATCGGCCACCGCACATTGAAGGCATGAATCCACCTTACCAGATCGGGGACAGGATCAACGTTACATGCACATCGGGTCCCTCAAAACCTGCCGTCCAACTCAAGTGGATCATCAATGGAATAGATGTAAGCATGCGTTCCTTAATTTTAAGAATCGTAACAAAATCGATCTTATCTTTACCATTTAGATAAGTGTCTATCGTGTCGCCTAATGGAAAAGCGGTAGACTATTTGTTTTCTTCGATCGAGCTGCACTACTTTCTGTAGCATTAAAATATGGTTATGTAAAGCGCAGTATTTCTCCTTAAATATTTGATTAGCTTCTAAGAATTTTAAAAACATGAATTTTTAAACATTTGCGTTACCCAAGAGTATAGAAAGAAATATAGTTTCTTGCACTTAATGTAGTTAACTATTTAATAAAGGAACCTATCGCCACTAAATTTCATATTTAGGTCAATATATGTATTTTCAACGTGATTCTCGAATTTCACCTAAATCAATTCAACTAGTATCGAGATATAAATATTGATCTATATACTTCTGATATGATAACTGATGAAATTTCATTAAAATTTCATAAAATCGGGTCGAACCGTAAAGATCATAACACGGAAAATTTTTTCTAGAGTACGTGCTGAATTGAATATATTGAATAATTACGTATTTGAGACTATTTCTTTGATATAAAGTTCTCAAATGGTTATTTATTCGTATGAAATGCCTATAACTTGAAGCTTAACATATCCGAAAGTCACGAACTATCATATATTTATAGTTGTATGCGAATGTTTCTGTTATATTTCATGTTGACAAGTCGAAAATAACCAGCGAAAAAATTTGTCTTCGGTTTGAGCTGAAGACGGATAGACAACAATCAGCTATAAATTAAGTTAGCTGTTAGATCTTTTTTATTTTCAGGTAGCACCGGATTTCGAGATCCGTTACCCCCAGATACGTCATTCGGGTGGATTGCAAAGCACGAAAATAGGATTAGAATTTGAACTGGATCCAAGTCAATTCTGGCAATCGGAGATGCAACTACGCTGCATGGCATCTATAGCGCAAGTATACTCGAGTAACAGTGAAGAACTGGTAATCGGAGACAGAGGCACTGACATCGTTCCTTACCATAGTAAGTTTGCCAAATGACCCTTTTTCTTTTCCGTAAAAGAAAATGTAATTACGGCAATTTACTTCTTTTATTTCAGTCATTTTACTGTAACGGGAGTAAAAAGTAAATCTCTCTTTTCTTCTTCTTTCGAATATTAAAAGAATAAAAATAAAATAATAATACCTAAACCTTCGTTTCTCTCAATGAAATATAAACCTGGAATTGCATTCTTTTTAAAAGAGAAAAGGGAAAATGCCAATATAATTTATTTCTCTAACATAATGTACAACATATATATGTATATGTTATACGGTATCAATATTAAAGTGTAACCTTCTTTGTTTGTATACTGTAGGCATTCGAGGACAATGGCATAATCGAAATTGCCAATGGTTTCGAGTTATCGCAAAGATAACATTTGATGCAATGATAATAATAATAATAATAATAATACCAAATGTTATATCACAAGTTGCTGTATTTGATAGAAGGAAAATATTGAAGAAACTAATTCCTTTTTCGTTTTATAGTATTATAAAAGAGAATACGAAACTAGTCTGTAATTTTATTTTAATCGGTGTGAAAAATGATATCTTAGATTTCTCACAGAAGCTTCTAAACGGAGCAAAATAGAGATAAACAAAGCTATGCAGTCAAACATTGGCTTAGGATTTAATAAGATTTTTTCATCTTACCCATGCCTAAGATTGCTTCTTACTCTTTCTGTCTCTCTTAGATAAAATAAAATTCTTGTGAAGGTAAATTCAATATCTTAGTCATTTTCGAGATAGAGAAGCGTCAGAGAATCTACAATATTCGTCTGACTTCGACCAATGAAATAATGCCTTATTTATCAGTGAAAGAAATGTATAGTCATGGATGGAAGCGTTATTGAACAGTTCTTGTGTATGTCTATGCCTGTCTACAATATTTATTGTAATTGCGTTGTCTTATAAATACGTTCCAAGAATAAAATCTGGGGTACTTTTCAGATCACTCTCATACTTTCAATGTCATTACAGTAACAAATGTCCGTACTGTGACATAGTGATCGAAAAAATGGCTACTATTATAATTAATATTTTAGTTTTAAAAGTGAGTCACGTTTTATTTTAATAATATAAGAGTTTAATATTTTTCTGATTAAAAAAAAAACTAGTTTTAACATTTTTAATTGGTTTTTCAAGTTTTCTAGAAGACAGTAGAGTGGTTTTTTTCTAACTCTTCAGACTCACTCGGTTGTAAGTTTTAAAAAAATAAATATATTAGACAACTTTAAATTTAAATTGAACTAAATATAAAACCAGTAAAATCTGGAAAAATATGAAAAAAAATCTGAATTAGCCTTAAGGTAATTATTTACAAGTTCCTTTTTTTACCATACCGAAATCTTCCTATTCTTTTTATAATAAATTTGTAAAAAAGTGGTTGTAAATAAGTGAAAATTTCAATAAAGGAAATGTATTTAATACATTTTTATTATCTTAACAAAAGTCCTACTAGTTAGTACATTTGATCAATATTTTAAATGTAAAACATTTGAACTAATAATTCTTAAAATTATGTGAAAGGAAAACAATATTTGAATAAAAAATATAACCTGAATTAACGATAACTGTTCAACTTGTAAAGCATTAGTTGTATATCTTGAGTACTGAAGATCGTTTGGGGTTATATATTGTATATTGTAATAACTAGATATTGGAGTGCAACCAGATGCGCCATCTTGTTACAAGGATAATAGAATGAGTGGATTACAGCTCTATCAAGGAAAGTAAGAGGCAGTTAAGATGGACTTTGTTCTCTATTATTAAAGCTGATGTCAAACCTTCACCTCATCGGCACGTCTCTCTTTCGGTCACGTTTCACATCTTTTCTGTTCTAATTTACTGCATCTTTAGTCGTGCATGCGCACCTCAAATGTTCGAATTTCTCCAATTGCTTCTTTTATATCCCTAAATAAACATAACGCCTATAGTAAGAAACGTAAAATTGTATCTCTTTTTATGGATGGCATAAATGCTTTTCACAAAGGAAAAGTATCCTTTATGCAACTACTTTCTACTATTCTTCTCGTTTGAGATCTGGAATTTTAAATGATTAAATTTTAAGAAAATTTATTATGTTTTCAACTATTACAGTTCGGAAAATAAGATATTTTCCATTTAATATTTCATACCATTAATAATTTCCTTTTTTTTTTCTATTTACTTGGTAATTAATTTAATTTATTTATAATAAAAATGCTCGATAGAGAATATCGAATTATGTTTTAAAATCAAAATTCCTATAAAAAATTAGAAATCTTTAAATGTTAATCTGAATATGCATGCTCATCTCAATTCAAAACAATTGACTAGTAATGTTGCACATATGCAAACTTACTCCCTTTCCTCCTCTCTTCCTCTTTTTTTTTCTTTTTAATTTAGTAGAGGAAAGAGATGACATCGCAATTTTTCTTCATGTCTGGTAGAAATCCCAAAAAATTAAACTGCTCTGCTATCCAAACAATCACTCACTATGCAGTACTGTACTAGATGACCTGTCACATTTACTTCTACGATCGAACTCTTTTGTATAGCAATTTGCTTGTCAATATTTGAAGCGTTTTTGCCCTTTTTTTTTTTCTTTGTAGATTATTCCACAAGACAGTTCTCGTCCGGATATTTTGCACGTACGTTTCCTGCACGAATTTTCTTCCTATTATAAAAGCTGTATAATTATATTGCTTTAATAACTTGATATGTGGCTAGATAATGTCATATGAGCAATTTCCTGATGGAGTTCAAATTTGAGATATCCTTACTTTTGACACATGAAATTAAAAGTTTTCCTTTAATGTTTTAATTAATATCTTAGATTTAATCAATTTTATTATATCTTTAATGTTAGAAATTTGATAATTATAATTAAAACAAGTGATAATTCATGTATAAAACATTTTTTACGATGTATGAATTGTCTTCATTTTTTTTTTTAAAGAAAATGAAAATTTTCGAGAAAGGAATTTACAAAAATAGTAACTTAATTACTCTGAAATACAATTATAATTTTAAAAAATTCGCAAAACTTTCGCGCTAAGTTAAAAAGTTTAGAGAGAAATTGCAATATAAAAAATTCTCGTAAATTGTATAATTATTTCTTATAAATTTTCGAGTTTTTATAAGGGTTTTTATGATTATAGATAATACATTTGGTCGACTTAAGCCCTAGATTTCCAATGAATAGCCGAAAATAAGCAGTAAAAGACCGTGTAATGTGGAAATCACGTACACAATATTCAGTGATATTTTGATCTCTTGCTGTGATATTGGAAATTAAAGATTGACTGCGTTTATATTAATGTAGCCTATTGCGTGACTAGAAAAAGTCAATATAAGTAAATTTCATTTAGATACAATCACAAGCAAATTTCATGAATAAAAAGGTTTCATTTTCCTTTATACTAAACTTATTCAGTTTTGAATGTTTATTTATACATCACGTAATACAGAAATAAAATTCGAAAACAATTTAATATTAATAATTATGTAATATTAAAATAAAGTTGAAATTGTTTATTTATTTTTTTTAAATAAAATAATTCGTGTTTTTATTTTTAATTTAATATGTTTATTTAAATAATATACAGTATATGATTCTTCTATTAAACATTATTTTTCTATTATATAATAGAAGAAATCATATTTTTTTCTTTATTAAATTTAGCTTAAATAAAACAATAATATTTACTTTTATTAATAAAAGTTTGCATTTAAATCAGATATAATTAAATATTCCTTCTTCTTAACAAAATCTTTCATGTAGTAAATTAAAAAGCATTTGTAATAATTGTCATCAAAATACATTAATATTTTTATACGGTAAAACCTGTTCAAAACGGAAACCTGCCAAACCGGAAATATATTCGGTGCCATGTTGTTCCGGTTTACTCAGGTTTTTCTGTACTATAATTTAAATTTTTACCAAAAAAAAAATGTTATCAAAGTATATCGCAGCCTTCAGAAAAGTAACGCATGAATGAGTCTTACTCGAATAAAATCCAATGGTGAGAAATAAATCATATTCTGTTGAATTCGGTTTCTACGCTATTGACATTAACGAAGTGAATTCATATTGTGCAATTGAAATGTTAAATAAATAATTTTCCTATAATAAAACTATTTGTTACGGCCTTTTAACATATTTATCATTGGATTATTTTTATTGTATTTGCTGAGTCGTTCGCTTAATTTGTAATCGAATGAATTATAATTTATCTTTCACGCCTAAAAGAGTAACATTTTTGAAGTTTTCGATTGTAAATTATATATATTTCAATTCAATTAATGGTAATTTTCAATTCGTTGCGATGTATTTTCTTCTGATCTTAATTTCTTAATTATTGGAATTTTTTTTTCAATGTAAAATAAATCTCATTCTTTTTTATCAAATATAATATTGAATAGATCAATCATATTATGTTTTTATTAAGAACTTTTNACTTTATCCATTAACACCTATTTACTCTCTATAATTTGAACTTTTTATCGACTATATCACCACTATTCATTTTTCCTTAAATTGTAGCACTCCATTATCCTTCGTTTACTTCTGAAAACATTACTTTTTCTTTCATTTATTTTCGCATTCCAACATTATCAACCATTCATCTCTGTCTATTGCATCAACTGCACTTACTTTCCAAACACACTCTATTAATCTAATGATCTATACCATATTATCTCCATCTCAAATACATTATTATTCGCAGTATCCCATACCGCTCCGGGTCAACACGGGCCAAACATTAAGGGAAACCTTCCATGGTACGATGTGGGTGACATCGTAGACGTAAACTGCAGCACAGTTTATCCCGCCGAATTGACGTGGTACGTTAATGACTACGAGGTGAGTCAAGTTTTTTCTTTCTCCAAAATTATTCTTTCCTTTTTCAATTTTAATATTTTCGTTCAGGCTCAACCGGACTACGTGATCAAATATCCTGTCAGAAAAAAGCCCAATGAACCCGACATGTCAGTTTTGGGACTAAAAATGAGAATAGAACATTATCATTTTAGGAGTGATGAATTGAGGCTCAAGTGTACGGCCACTCAATACAAAATGATCACTTCTAGCAGCGAAAAGATATTAAGGAGCGGAAACCAGCAAAACAGTGGGTTTCACGCCATTGAAAATACTGGCTCAGGTAAGCCAAGTGACGTGATTTTCGTCATTAGTTCATAAAAATTTGATAAATTATTGTTGTCTTGAATTGTAAACACATTTAGTTTATAGACTATAACTTTCTTTACATATATTTTTTTTATTTTTAGGCAGTTACTACCGACATATCAGGTGGTGGGCACTACAAACTCTAGTTATGACCATGATTAAACTGTCCAGTTCAGTGTACCACTGATTAAGTCTGTGATCAACCAGTAGCCTTCATGGAAACAAGGACAGCCGGCCAATTGGATCATTGGTGAGATGTCAGAAGTGCCGTGAAGTAGCCATGTGTTGGTGGACCCACATGCCGGCATAACGTATGCAAATTCGTGTTTCAAACTCTGTACATACGGGACAGTGTTTATATTGTGCACGATCCATATCACGTGGTTTGTGTGCAATCGGATAATCAAGAAAATTCCAATATTTGGACGGTCCATAGGGGGTCGAAGGTCAAAGGCAGGTGGTGATAGCGTTCGGGGTCCGTTTATTGAACTATGCACTTTGATTATTCAACCCGATAAACGTACAGTTTTGCATAGTTTGTGTTCTCCGTTCCTCAAAAAAATAGAACTAGAACTCAAAGTTGGAACGGAAGAAAAACTCTTCTCCTTCAAGGAATGCTTGATCCTAGCACCACCTGTTAGCCTCGGATATGTAAATATATATAAATAAATATATATATATATATATAAATGAATTTACAAAAAACTGAAATGTGTACCGATAAGGTCTCAACTGCAAGGTACAATCATCTTGTAGAAGCGTTGACAACTTGTAAATCCAGGTTGCAGCCCTAGATGCCCTTCACAGTTCTTTGTATCCCTCCTTATCGATGGCGTACAAAAAAACTTGGTACAGTAAATGTACAGTTCTGGGACATTTTTTGTTTTCACCATCTCGCAATTTTTCGAGAATCATTCCTGTGATGCGCCAGATTTATCAAATAAATCTTACTGCGTCGCCGAATTTCTTACCTGAAGGAGAAATTCATGTTATTTTTGCCAATAACTGTATTATTTTCATGTCTTCGTGTCATTGTATGAGTCCGTAGTCCCAATGGTAAGAATGTAAATTTGGTGTAAAATTTAGAAACATTTTTTTTCAATAAAAATTCATTAGAAATGATGTTTTTTTTTAAAAAAAAACTCAAATTACTTTCAGATACACAAATGATTGATTATTACCGAGTTCATTTAATTTTTTAAATTCATTTTATTAGTGCACGACATACACGTAAGGTTTTCAAATATTGTATTCTTTCATTTATACATGTACCTTAATATTTTATATAAATAATAAGCTGCCATTTTTTTTATATTTTAATTTAATCAAAAAATGATAAATCTTTCTATTTTATTATCGATAAATGTGATATTAAAAAGATAGGCAGGAAGATTGACCTTGTAAATTTGCTAAATCATTCATACAAGAGCAGGATAAGTAAACTGGATTTTATCAAAGTGCATAATAAAAGAGGGATAAGTTCTCTTAAACAAGCGCTGATTAATCTCCTAGGATTTTGAAACATTGAAATAAATAATCCGAATAAACCGAAAGCAATCACCACTTTGCTTCTCTTCGATATTACACAAGAAAGAACATTAAAGTCAAGTACTATGGCCAAATCCAAAGTGATTTAACACTTCTTTTACTGACAGCTTAACAATGGATACAATTCATGTGAAGTCACTATTAATGCCTGAATACGAAAAAGTCGAGAAGAATGTAATCAGCACTTCCTCTTGCAGTAATTCCTGTTGGGAGTTAACACAAAAACTCTTCTCTAATCAAAGAACGTGGTGGTCTAAAAGAGAAAATAACATTTTACTGATCTGATAAAAGAAGAATAAAAATTGGAATGAAAATAGTTCTAATCATGTTCCGCCACGCAGCTTGCCAACTTTTACTTCCCCCTTCACTATCTTTCTGTATGAAATGGCAGAAAGTATAAAAAATGCTACAAAGGACATCTTTTTCCGGATTTATTTTCTAGAATGGGAACTTCAGTTTTTCATTTTTTCGACATTTTCGAGTAGGTCATGAATTTTTGAATTCGAAAGTAGTCTCTTTATTTCAAGTTCTGTTGACTACTTTGCTGATTTACGTAGCTAAAAAGTGCTGTAAGAATGGTTATTTTTGTCTAACTTCATTTCTGTCAATCTTTGTATACCCGAAACAAAAGTAAAAATAGAAAGAGAAAGTCATTTTTGAAGATGTGAAGTTTGAGAAGTTTTTCTTTAAATTTCTGCAAAAGAGACTGAAGAAGGTTAATAAAAGTTGAAATTAAATATAAAAATTCAGATTTTCTAAGTAATATTCATTAAAATCTACCGTACATTAAAACATAGTCTGGCTTTAGGTTACAGAGTACTACACCTTCTCATTACGTAATCATGTCAGGACACGGACTTTCTCTAAGACGGATCCACAACTTTAATCAATCAAAAGAGAGAACAGAGGGCGTGGTCGACAACGGAGCTTGATATGAAAGACACAATGTCTATAATATCTGCACTGGATGAGCTTCACTTCAGGCGCTGTGCTTTATTTGTGCTGATTGCTTTAGCTTTAATGGGAAAATAATCTAGTTTTGCTCTTGCATTTGCTTCAAACTATCTGCTCTACATAAATTAATCTTATATAC